TTGGTGCAGAATGACTGTGCAGAGCACAATGACCCGCCAGTCCTCTCTGGTGTCAACAGACTAAGTTCATGCTCAGTGGGTTTGGCCCTGGATGCTGCACCCAGGAGGACTACAGGCTCTCCCAGGCCTTGCTGGGGGCTTTGGGAAACTCTTGTTGGTGCAGAATGACTGTGCAGAGCACAATGACCCGCCAGTCCTCTCTGATGTCAACAGACTAAGTTCATGCTCAGTAGGTTTGGCCCTGGATGCTGCACCCGGGAGGACTACAGGCTCTCCCAGGCCTTGCTGGGGGCTTTGGGAAACTCTCATTATTAAACATTCTGCACGCCCCTCTTGCCTACTGACCCAACCAAAACAGAGTGAACTCTTCCAGTGTCTGCAAATGTTGTGGGTGGAAACTGTTAGGCTCATTCCTCCCCCATCCGGTCCTGAGAGGCTCAAAGCTTGTGGCAAGTGTTAGCAAATGTTAATCCTCACAACTGCCCTGGGAAGAACTGGAAGTATTATAGGTAAGACACTGAGGCACAGAGAGGTGAGGCCACTGGGAGGAAGCTGTACAGTAAAACAGTGTCGGATCAAGAGAGGGGCTGGGAGCTCCTTACTCCCACAACCCAGGGACCTTGTTCTGCCGGATTTGCATGGCTGTTAGGTCATGGGTGAGCACACCTGTCTCAAGTGACGTCACAACAGAGGTTTGTTGGGTTAATGACCAGCAATTTCCCATTTTGTACCCATGCTTGGAATGGCTGTTTGGGACAGAACTCAGTAAACCCCATCTCCCCCCACATTCTTGAAGTCACATTCATTATGGTGACAGGATGTCTGCAGCCCTTGGGGCTGCTGCTGCCAGGCCCCTTTGCCCTGCAGAGATCCCCTCCTGCTCCCGACATGCCCACCTCATGATGCAGTGCCCTTAAGTGGAAGGAATGCCCATGCCATTTTGCATCCTTCCAGAGCAAGTGACCAGGTCAGAGTTCATAGTCTCTGCCCAGTGGCCTGATGGGTAGCAGTCACCACTTAGCCACTGCTGGCTGGCTTTGCAACTGGTCCTCAGTGCTCCTGGCTCTGCCAAGGCTGGCTGGGGGCTTTCCTACTCCTCCCAGTGGGGTATTCCAGAGACTGACACTTCTTGAAAGTTCAGTGTAAATTGCCAGGGGCACCCGCCTTGTTCCTTGAACCCACAGCGCTGGGGCCACCTGCTGGGTCATGGCTGGTTGATGTGTCCTCAGGGCCTGTCTTCAGAGATACAGGACACCTAGATGGGCAGTCTCTGTCCTTGGTGCCCACTGGAAGTGGTGGCTATCTCTGGAAAGTCTGTCCTGGCATCTGCCCTCAGCCCCAGGTCTCTCTGTACAGGGAGGATGGACAGCACCGGGCCATAGGGCTGCTCTTCTCTCTGCTCTTTCAGAGTCGAGTCACGTGGCTTTCTTACACGTTGGTGACCTCCAGGCTGTTGTATCCCTCCAAGCGGCACTGTTCAGGCCTGCCTTGGAGGTCATCCTCTGCGCAGTCCTCGTTTTCAAGGGAGCCATAGTCGTCATGAAAATCAGGCTCTTTGCTGCTGAAGCCCCTCCCTATCTTCCCCAGGGGCAGCTGAGGAGACAGACACAAACCAGAGGTCAGAGGAAGAGAGGTGAGAACCGGGTGGGTGTGGCACCTCCAATCTGATTGCTGTGTGACCTTCAGCATCTCCCTGGACCTCTCTGGGCTCCTCCATTATTAGTACCACCCCTACTGCCCAGACACATGGAAGGGATTTCAGGGAATTTCCATGAGGAGTCAACGTCTGAGTTTCCAGCTAGAGAGAGTCAAGTTACCAAGAGTGACTTCGGACTAATAATCCTACAGTCTCCTTGCTCCCTCCTGTTGAGGGTGGGTGGATGGGACAATGCCTGTGAGTGTGTATAAGCATGGGTAAGAGGTCATAGTGCATTCCCAACCCAGAGGGAATATTCCACCACCACCTGGTATGGCCACAAGTATGAGCTTGGGGCTTGCAGATGGCCATTTAGAGCCACTGCACTGTATTTCCGGCTGTGGAAACTGAGGTGAGTCACTGCCCATCTCTGAGCCTTAATTTTCTCAGCTACAAGATGGGAAAAGGGATAGAGACCTGGGTGGACTGTTGGGAGGAACAGATGTCCCCACCCACTGGGGAGGGGTAGTGGGTGACTCAAGCAGGTGCCCTGTAGGAACTGCTCCCCCCCCCAATAGTGGCCTCTTGATGGACCCTCTGGATCTGAGTTGACCTTTGTCAACAACACTTTGCAGTTGTGTGCTCCACCGCCTGTCTTTCCAGGCCAGTGCATCCCCACTTGACAGTCGACAAGGCTTCCTGATTGCCCCACTGTGTGTCTGCTTAGGCAGGAGTGTGAAGAGAGAGACTCTTTCTTTTTGCATCCCCCTCCCACCAAATTTTCACTGCTTTGGAATGAAGGTACTCGCAACTGAATGCAAGCCTCAACAGGTCACATGCCTTTAATCCCAGCACTAGTGAAGCTGGGACCAAAGGGTGGTGAGTTCCAGGTCAGATCCAGCTACATATGAGACGTGTCTCAAAATCCCACAGGGCCAGGCTGGTGAGATGGCTTAGCAGGTAATGGTGTTTGATGACAAGGTTGATGACCTGACTTTAGTCCCTAGCACCCACATTGGAGGTAGAAGAGAACTGACTCCTACAAATTGTCCTCTGACCTCTACATGCATGCTGTGGTGTACAAGTGTGAGTTTCGTGTGTCTGTGCATGAGCACATACACATAATGGAAATAGTTTTAAAACCAAATTAAAAAAAAAAAACCATGAATATGGGGGAGGCTGGTTGGGGTGTAATTCAGTGCTGGGGTGCTTGCCTAAGACACACAAACCCTGGGGCCAACTCCCAGCACCATAAAACCAAAACCAAAGCCAAGAGTGGCCAGCCCAGGACAAAGTACCCTCCGAAGCCACCCCTGTGCTCACTGAGGTCCAGGTGCCACCAAGTGAAGGCGAAGACATGAATGTGGCGACCACGATGCAGATTACAGCTAGAGTTTCTGTTTGGTATCTGGCCATGTTCTGTGCTGCCCTACTGGGTACACTAGACGTTCCTTGCTGGCCATGGAGTTCATCTGTCCCTGTTCCATGCTGTCCTACTGGGTGTGCTAGAGGACATGGGACTAGGTATGCTTGCTGGCCATGGAGTTCACCTGTCAATTCTGTGTAACCCTACTGGGTACACTAGACGTTCCTTGCTGGCCATAGAGTTCAGAATCTAAGTCAGAGGTTTTCAGAGTCTAGGGCTCACTGATCCTCCCAGCAGCCAGCTGTGTGAGGTGCTCCACATCCCGGGGCCCATTTGCTTCAGGAGGCCAGGATGAGGGGATCCCACAGTCTATAGACACCCTGCCATAGACTCTGCCTTGTATGGACACTTGTCACTGGGCACTGTCTTAAGCAAAGGCCCAGACACATGGTGGCTCTCCTGTGTGCACCCGTGACCCGAGGCTGCTCCAGGTTCACAGAGGACAAAGGAGCCATAGGTATATCCAGGAGAGGATGCCTGGCCCTGAGGACAGAACGACTACTTACCCGGCTGGCTCTATATTTGCTGTTGCCGCTGCTCTCCTCTTTCCCAGCTCTGGTGACGCTGGAGGCCCTGCCGGGTGGAGTCCCAAAGCGCTCAGACTCCCGGATGCCTGTGGAGCTGCAACATTTCACAGGTTGTGTTTTAGTCAGAGAGTCAATCTGCTACCACTGTCCCCAGTCACATCCCTACTGCTTCAGAGCACCGGCTGCTCTTACGGAGGCAGGACTGGGGTTTCGGTCCCAGCACCCACATGGTGACTTCCAGATATCTATAACTCCAGTTCCAGGGGGATCTGATGCCCTCTTCTGGCCTTTCATGGGCACCAGGCATGCATGTGGTGCACACACACAGGCAAAACACTGGTACACATAAAATAAAATAAAATAAAATAAAATAACATAAAATAAAATGGCTGTGGATATAGCTCAGTAATCGAGTACTTGTCTAGAATATGCTGGGTCCTGGGTTCCACCTCCAGCACTGGTTAAAAATAAGCATCAATGCTCCTTTCTCATGGTGTGTGTGTGTGTGTGTGTGTGTGTGTGTGTGTGTGTGTGTGTGTGTGTATGTGTTAGGTACTGGGGGACAAATGAAGCAGAGGACAGACAGCACCTTGCCGACAACATAATCTGACATTACTGTGAAGGAGGGCTGTGGCAGGCACCCAGCCTGGGATGCTGTCCAGGTTGGAGCCCTGATATTGATCTTAATGACTAGGAATGTTTCTCCAGCTGGAACCTTCCCATTCAACCTGAAGCACCATGGGAGGACCACCGTGGGAGGAGCCAAAGGGTCACCGCCACCATCCCCCACCCTGCTTCTCCTCCTCTCTGAAAGCTGAAGGCGGTGACAGGGAAGGAGAGCAGAGGGCAGAGGCCTTCCCTGTGTGATCGCTCACTGCAGAACTGCCCCATTAATATCAACTCTAGGATGCTTCTCAAACGTCTCACCATGCCCTCTGCTGGAGGGCTCTCTCGGCCACCGAGGTGGTCTCTGGATTCCTTAGGAACTCTTGGGGTTCTATGTCCTCTCAGCTGACAGAAGTCTGTTCCTGGGGTTCATGGCAGGGTCTCAGCAAGGCTTCCTGAACCCCAGCTCAGGGACCTTGCCTCACAAACCGAGTGTGGGGGCAGCACCTTGGATGGAGGCAACAGCAAGCTGCTAGGCTCCTGCTGAAGGCTGCACTGCCTCTCTTCCCTGACCCATCAGCCGCCAACTCCTGGAGCAAGCCCACTTCCTGCTGATCCAGAGGCAGGAATCCCACAGCTTTCATGCAACCCCCAAGGAGTTGCTGGCCCAATCAGTCACAAGGAGCCACCCTCCTGTTGTCCCTCAAGTCCTCCTTGGTGCTTACCCGATAATCCTGGTAGTTCAGAAACACCTGCTACCCCCACAGTCAAGCTCTAAGCTGTTCCACCAATGTCTACTGGTGCCTGGCCCAAGCAGCCTCTCCAGGGCTCTGTGTATTTTAAGCCTGTCAAGGGCTGCAGAGGTGGCTTAGTGGTTAAAAGTATTCATTGCCCTTCCAAAGGACCTCAGTTAGGGTCCCAGCATTCACATCAGGAGGCTTGCAAGCATTCATAATTCCAGATCCAAGGGATCCAAATTCCTTGTCTGTACTCCTTGGGTACCAGCACAGACATGCACATATCCCTACACACACACACTTAAAAGTAATGAAGTAAATCTTAAAAAAATATATGTAAAATCTAGGTAAGTTCTTAGCAAGTACAGATCACAACCCTTCTCACAGAGAAAGCCTAGAAACAGATGGCTTCCTGAATGACAAACACCTGCCCTACAACCCCTCCCAAAAAACAGAAGAGGAGGGAACACCTCCTTCTTCACACTGACAGGCCAGGATTTCACCAACACCAAAACCAGAAAGAAGGTTCCAGAAGCAGGAAGACTACAGGCCAGGTTTGGTGGCACATGCCTGCAATTCTAGCATTTGGAGAAGCTGAGGCAGGAGGGCACATGATTCAAGGACAGCCTGGGTTACATAGTGAGTTGAAGGCCAGCTTGGGCTGCATAATGAGACCCTGTCCCAAAGGCAACAGCAATAACCTGCTCCTGTCAAGTCCCTTCAAAACAAAATAAGCTGGCTCTTCCTGAGAAGCCCACACCTCTGCTCTTGAGTGTGCCTTTATTTATTTATTTATTTATTTATTTATTTATTTATATTTTATGTGTATTGCTGTTTTCCCTGCATGTCTGTGTGAAGTTACAGAAGTTACAGTTAGTTGTGCTCTGCTAGGTGGGTGCTGGGAATTGAACCCAGGTCCTTGAGAGGAGCAGACAGTGCTCTTAACCACTGAGCCAACCTCTCCAGCCCACCTTGAGTAGTATATCTTATTTCCTTCCAAAGCTCCTCTCTTTCTCTTAACCTTCCTGCTTAAAATGTCTTTTAATAAATTCCAAGTCTTCAAAGAAAAACAAGCAAACAACAACAAACCTAAGTCCAAATCAAAGCTGTATAGATCAGTAAGCCTTATGAATATCAACAAAAACATCTCCCACTATACCAATCAGATTGAACAACAGAAATGGCTGTGCACTCTGAGCAAGTGAGACCTGTCCCAAGAACGCAAGGTTGGCTTGACTACGGATAGAAATGTAATTCACAGTATCCATATAGCACAAGACCAAGCAGGATGTGGCCACTTGCTGCTGGGTGGCCTTGGGAAGCAGTGGCCTTTAGAACCAGTTTGTCACCTGTGAAGGGATGCTAGGATGAGATATGTCCCCAGTGAGCACTGAACAAATTCTGGTTCACACCCTAGTGTGACCCCCAGTGGACCACTTGTAAGGGCAGCATCCACAGAGAGGGTCTGGGCTGTCTGGGGCTTCATCTTGATCATTCTCTGTGCAAAGGGTTTCGGGTAGGTGGGTGGCCATGCTCTGATCCCTTGGATCACAAGCACAGTTTATATGCCAAATCCCACCTCTAAACCTTTGTCCCCATGGCCATACCTGGCAGAATGGCCACCTTGTTCTGTGAAATCAGTGCACATTGTCCCCAGCTCAAGCCACAGCGTACTCGGCCTTTCTCACTCACTACTGCTCACTCTCCTACTCTAAAGGTCCCAGCAGTGGGGTGCGTATTTATCCCATGCTCCTCTTTTCACCATCTGACCTCAGAGCCTCAGTTCCTGACCAGCTTGGTGCAAGAATGGGCGGCACTCAGTCAGCCAAGGACCAAGGTTGTGACAATACCATCTGCTTCCTCGTTCTGTGCCTGGCATCCAGTGGCTGGCATCCTCAGCCTGTGCCCTGTGGCTCAAGGTCCGTACCTCACACCTGCGCCCTACACACTCACTTGGCTGGGTGGAAGACGGTGCTCATCTCCTCTGCCAGGTGTCTCCGGAGGATATGCTTCCCACTGGGGATGCCCAGGGCAGTGGCCATGGCCTCAGCATTGAATGTGGGCTCCAGCACCAGCACAGCACCATGGACACCGCTGTTGGTCAGGTTATCTGCATACTCCTGAGGGCAGAAAGGTGAGATGGGTAGGTCTTGGGACCAACCCAGCCAAGCAGGGATAGGACCCCAACAGCAAGGGTTTCACCCATGGGGGTCAACTTCATCCTCAGAGCTGTAAACAGGGGTCTTATGACACTGGCTGGACCCTGACAGGAGCCATAAACGTTTATGGAAAAAAATATCGCTAAGAATTGCCCCAGTGATGACAGCATTGAGCAGGGGTCCCATTGTAGCAGGGAGGGCTCTCCTCCAGTGACAGAAAGTGTGTGATCTTGTCAAACTGGGTGATGGTGCCCCCTACCTTACATCAAAGAGGGCATTGATTTGCATGCCATTTGCATAGGCTAGAGAACCAGCCCTATGCCCCCGCCACCATGGCCTCACCTTCAGGTCGATATCACGCACCCACTTGAGCACCCGCTGGTTGGTCCAGACCACCGGGTCGGTGTTCTGTGTTTCACAACGGGCTCGGCGTTCCTGGAGGACCTGGGAGATGGGGAACACGGAGTCAGTTGAGGGGATGAGGGACACATGGAGGTCACGTGCAGAAGGACGTTCTATGGTGTTAGTGGGGACTTCTGAGCGCAAGTGTAATGAGGGCCACCCACAACTGCCTGAACCAAACCATCTGTGTTGTGAGAAACAGAAGGAACAACCTCCTAGGGTGCAGGGGATCAGGTGTGTGGGCTGGATAGAGACCTATGCTCTGTCTACTCAGTGTCACCCAGGCCTGTGGCATTGCTGCCCAGGTGAAGGGAACAGGCTCAGTGGATATTTGTGGAGATCCTGCCTATGATAGGGAGGTTCTTGGGGTCTGTGCATCCTGGTTTAAAATACCATCTTTGGGGTCCTGGGGATGCATCAGTTTGCTGCCCTTTCACAGGTTACTCTAGGGGACTAATTCCCAGGCCAAGAGCTCCAGAGGCATACCCTCTGAGGTGGTTTGAATAAGAATGGCCCCCATAGGCTCATAGATTTGAATTTTTGATTCTCATTGGGTGGAACTGTTTAGGAAGGCTTAGGAGTTGTGATCTTTTGGGGGAAGGTGTGTCACTGAGGGTGGGCAGGCTTCTAAAGCATATGCCACTCCCAGTCTCCCTCTCTCTGCCTCTGCTCCCGCCATGATGGAAGTGTACTCACCCTCGGAAGCTGTAAGCAAGCCCCAGTTAAATGTTGTCTTTTATGAGTTGCCTCCATCACAGTGTATCTTCACAGCAATAGGACTAAGACACCCTCTCTAGGGCTCCCAGCCCAAAGTCTCCTTCACTTTCCCATCTCAGCAAATCCTGCGCCCATGCATTACTGTCAAGACATCCCATGCCCACCCTCTTCATCACACTGTCGCTCCTAGAGGCCAAGGCCTGGCTCTCCCATCTTCTCCTTCTGCCCAGTCATGAAGTGGGTGACAGGGCCACAAGGCTGAGAGCCTTCTCTGTGTTCTTCTCTCAACACTGAGCTGTTAATGCTCTGACTTGGCTCTAGAAAAAGTCAACCATAAGGACCCAACCCTGAGGACCAGCCTCTCAGGGACCTTCCCCAGGGGACTTGTGGGGGCCTGAGGCTGGGGCCCTGTGCTCTCTGGCTTAACAGAGTTCAGAATCAAGGGGCATCAGAACTTAAACTGCCACAACAGCCAGGGTTACGCCCTGCATCCCAAGTCCACTGCCCACCCATTCTCATTGTTTTACTGTTGCTACAGCGCTGGACCCTGGGGCTTGGTCACTATGGTACTTTCAGTTGCATTTTCTTCCTTAATTGTCAGCTGCTGCTCTCTGCAACAACTCTTTGTTTAGCTCAATGGCCTCAGCAACTCTCCTTGATCCCAAGAAGGTGTTTCTTAGCTTTCAGAGAGCCCTGACTGTCCTCCGGTGTTGTCACCATGGACTTCAGTGATTCTCCCCAATGAGCAACGACTTCTCTGAGGCTGAGGGTTCCCTAGGTCCCCTGAACTGATCATAGGCACTTGTTTACTCAAGTAAGAAGTCTCTAGAAGCAAGAGAGAGGAAGAGATAGTTGGACGAAGAGATGGGTGAATGAATGGGTGAATGAATGGGTGAATGAATGGATGGATGAATGGATGGATGAATGGATGGATGAATGGATGGGTCAATGGATGGGTGAATGAATGGATGGGTGAATGGATGGATGGATGGATGGATGGATGG